AACTTTCCCATTCTTTATTTTTAATGGTTAACAGACCCTATACTAAAATAACACCTTAGATGGGTAAGATGGAGGAGGAAGCTTGTGAGACCTGAGACAGGTCAATCCTGAGGGCAGCTGCTTTTAAACATGATTTAAGAAAGTATAGACATAGTAGATATAAGTTCATAAGAGTAAAATGATCTAGTAGTATAAGTATAATAATATAGGAGAGAATAGTTAAGTAGATAAAAATAGGATAATGATTAAAGATAATTAGATAAAGAATAATTAAATAGAAAACAAATATAGGATATAAGAGTAGTCAAGCATAATTCATATAAAGGTTGTTAAGCATTATTAGATTATGATTCATATAAGTAAAATAAGAATAAAGATAGATACATAATAGGAAAGTTTATAGGAAATAATTAAAAAATAATAAAGTTAGTTATAAGAAACAGTAAAATTAGTTATAGATGTAAACGCCAATATATTGCTGCTAAGTTACATGTAAGAATTGTTAGAAATATGATATAAAAGGGATAAGGGTTAACAGGTTACAGTTAATTATTTTTAGCAAAAGTTGTTTCGTTCCTGTCTGTTGGTTTTAACATAATGGAAACAAAAAAAGAATAGGGAGGATCAAATAAATCATTGTAGTACGTTTGATTGTAAAAGAAAACATAATGTAAGTTTTTGTGGGCATATGTGTGAGGGGGTTGAGGGTTGAAAATGCCTTATATAAACATGTGAAAACTGAATAAACTTTGGAAGAGTCCTGAACTCGACCCAGGGAGTTGACTTGTGTCTTCTTCCTTCGCCGCGTCTGATTCTCTCACCTTAGGCCCTGACCTTTGTGTTGGAGCTGGACTCTGACAGTCAGAGTCATTTTACAAACTATACACAAGACTGCATAATAATAAGGATGCAGTGTAATTTATGAAACACTGTATTTCTAAAAAGAGTTTGATTTTTTTTTAATTAAGTTATTCCAGGGACAATGGCATATGCCTGTTGTCCTACCTACTCGGGAGGCTGAGGTAGGAGGACTAGTTGAATCCAGGAGTTCCAGTCCAGCCTGGGCAACACAACAAGATTCTATCTCAATAAAATAAAATGAGACAAGTTATTTCAAACTTAATGTTTAGAAACCTTTCACTATGGTAACAGCCACTCATAATTTCTCTTTCTCAAAGTGGTCCTCTGGCTCATGACAGATAGAGCTTTTCAGTGCAACAAGCCCATGACAGATCAGCAGGCTTAGAGTTTGTGCCCATTGCTGGACTTGGGAACCGTTCCCTGTACTCTTCATCCTATTAAGTGAAGGCTTCCCTTCCAAGAGTATGCCATGGTCATCAAAATCAGGACTGTTGGGAAAGGGAAGAAACAAGTCAAAACAGGAATCTATATAGCTTCTGCCTGAACCCTGAATAATTCTTTAAGTGAGATTTACTTCTGATTGTAGGCTAAGACAAGACCATGTTTTTATTCATGAGTATTTTAAAAATTAACATGAGTCTCTAAGCAACATTAATTACTGAAATAATCCAAAGCTTACAAAGGCTAAGATGCTACCTACAAAGGCATAAAATATTAAGAGTAGAAAAGGTAAAAATACTTAAGAAAGAAAATTATATTTCTTTTTTTTTTTTGAGTTGGAGTCTCACTCTGTCACCCAGACTGGAGTGTAGTGGCCGCTCCCGGCCACCGCAGCCTCAACCTGCTGGGCTCCAGCAATCCTTCCGCCTCAGCCTTCCAAGTGGCCGGAATTACAGGCATGTGCTACCACGCCCAGCTGATTTTTTGATTTATTGTAGAGATGAGGTCTCGCTGCCCAGGCGGGTCTCGAACCCGCAGGCTCAGGCAATCCACTCACCTCAGCCTCCCAAAGGCGCGAGATTACAGGCTGAGCCACCGAGCCCGGCTAAGAGTAGAAAAGGTAAAAATACTTAAGAAAGAAAATTATATTTCTTTACAAAGGCATTATAAACTCAAAGACAAAGCAACATTCAGTGTATTTTTTCCTCAGATGAAAGCACTTAATATTTAAATTATATATAGTTAAATATTTGGCAATTAGTCAATCCAGCTACAAAGAAAGTAAAACCAATGACTGTGATTCACGATCATTTTTTCCTTTTCCTAAAACTGTTCATACAGGAGATCCCAGAACTAGAGCAAAAATGACTTTCCAAGAAACTCCTATGTTTGATTCTTTAATTTAAATCTAAATACATATTATTCACTGAATAAGAAATATATGTCAAACTATATCCTTTACAACTAAAACACTACACATACAAGAAGTCCAAAAGGTAGTTTCAAAAAAGTTACAAAGTAGAAAAAATCTAGCAATGTTAATGAGTAAAAAGGGGCAAAACATGACTATACACACAAAAATGTAGAATTAAAACAATCTCATAATGATATATAAAACAAAGCCTTGGAAAAATAACAGAATATTGTAAATGCTTTGTACCAATACATATTTGTAAACATGGCCAAAATCATCAACTACCTAGAAACACCAAATGAATTTCTTTAAAAAGTATGTTTATATGTATGTATGTATGGCATGCTTGAAAATATTTAATTATAGCTGGGCTCGGTGGTTCAGAATGTAATCCCATGC